TACCAACATAACTAGAAATATACCAGTATACGGGTAAGCTCTTGTTCCCTGACCTGTTGGGGCACATCCCACGATTTACATCTTTCACGATGCTCCAGAGTAGGAACGGTGGGGGCTCTCAAGGTTGAGATTCAACCTTTAGAAATATATCAATATATTCAGATTATCTGATAAAATATGAAATACTAACATAATGTTGGCCTTTTAAAAATAATAAATAAATAATACTATACACCTTTTTCAGTTGCAATACGTCTTAGAGTTTAATTGTACTTTGATAATTTTAAATCACATATATTTAACTTTTTTAACGTCATAGTGAAATGTATGGGATAGTTAATATTTTAATTCACGGAGGAATTACTTTCATGTTTGTCGTAGATTAAAAATTGATAAATATTTCAAATTAAAATCAATAATTAATTTTAAACACACATTTTATTGAATTCACAACTTTTCGATCACTTATTTTTATCAAAATTTACTATAAAAAAATCTTTATTTTAATTTACAGTACCAAAAAGAAAATACGTCTAAATTATTTTCATGCAGAAGACCTTTTGATAAAGGTTTACCTAGTTTATTGACTAGGTTTGCAGACTTGCAGTATCACTGTATTTGTGAAAGTTAGGTAGTGCAATGAACGTGAGAGGGGGAAAGCAAAAGTTATCTTTTTAGGCAAATAAAAAAAAGTGATTTTAGACTTAAAAAAAGCAGATTGTGACTATGACTTAACTTTAATATTCAACTTTTCAAGGCATCTGCAATAGGATCTTCGGATTGTTACATGCTCAAATCAATGTCCATTATTCACCCAATTCTAGTTTTTCGTTTACTATGCATTTTATGATATCCTCAATATATTGAATTGAACAATATTGTACGGAAGTAAGAGTAAAAATTATTTTCTAAGGTATCATGAGCCTGTTTGAATCCTATTTTTTGGACTAAAAATGCATTTCGAAATTGTAGATTGATGCAGAATGTGTGATTAAAAAAAAAAAAGATTTGAATTTGTGTGCTATATTATTTTATTGAAGAATGTTTACTTAAAAAGAAGAGAGAGAGAAAATGTATTTTAGAATGGAGATCAAACAAAAGCTATATTCTAAACGTACCCTTGGGAGACGAAAAAAGGGCTTTGCAAATAATTAGATGTGTTAAATATGGTGAGTCAAGCGTGGGCTGGCTCTCTCAATTGAAGATTTGCTCAACTTGTCTCATGAACTCGTTCCTTAGTATCATAGATGACTCACACAAGTTATGTATTGTTCGACTCACCCCACTCATTGCCAATCACCCTCTAAAGAGAATGGAGAAATTTTTGAGATTCAGATCTTGAGTATCTAGGATACGTCAATCAATTGAATTATTGCAAAACTGAACGAAATTGTTATAAACAATTATACGTTCAATTTTCATGACAACCTCTATAAATTATTTAATTCATCTTTAACACTATCTTGTTTGATGTTTTCTTTATCAAAATTTGGGCATCCTCAAAGTTTTCATAAAGATTTTTAAATTCAAGACTTTGTCTGTAATAAATATTTAAACATATTCAGTTATTTACTATTATTCAAACGGCATTCTTGAAAAAATTAAATAAATAAAAACAAAACAAATGACAGTTGTTCCATGCACAAACAAACCAATATTAGCATGCTTTGTTGAATTTTAAATGTTATTTTATTGGAGAATAAATCAGACTTACTTTTCATAATATTTTTTTTTTTTTTTAGTGAAAAAGCAACTTTTAAATTAATACTTGACAAAATGAGCAGTTGTAGCGTGTTTGGTTACATTTGAAAATTACTTCCTTAGAGATTAAGTTATAGCAAACTTTTTTGCTTCCCTATTTGGATAAATATAATATTACTTTTCTTATAAAGTAATTTAAAACTTATTTTTCAAAATTTTATTAGTAAAATGAATAATTTTTTTGGAAATCAATAATAACCATTTCATTAATCTAGTATCGTCAATAAATTGATCAAGAAAGTGCACACTATACACTCAAGTTACTCAAAGCTTAATGGGACGAAAACGACAAAAGAGGCTAGATAGTCGAGTACATTATTTTCTTTACAAGGATTTCAAGAGCAAGAATCACATCCAAAATTGCTGTAAACATTGCAATATCTCGAAAATTAAATTAGACCGTTCTAATGAAAAATCAGATTGCACATTGTAGACTAAAGATTTAGCATCAAATTCAACCGCCTCAATGGTTAGATCATAGCGTTTTGCAAACAAAGCCATTGTGTCAGCAGCAGCAAGTGGGATCACCTTTTCCAGTTGGAGATGCATAAGTCGCAACTGCACAATATAAATAATTTGAAAGTAAATTTCTTTTTGGCATAGTTGGCTAAACTTAAAAGTTACCATATTTAAGAGTAAGTTTGTATAAGTTGTTTACTAAAAAACTTTTAAATTATATTTGAAAAAGTAATTTAAAAGCAAAATTACTCATAATCAAGAATAATGTTGTCTATTTAGATTAATATCCATATGTGATATTAAGCCCCCGTTCGATTGCCATTATTTGAGTAAAATATTGTTTTGAATAGTGAATTTTAAAAGAATGCATGTATAAAAAGTAGAAAAAAAGTTTTGAATTTACATACATAATATTTTATTGCTTGAATGTACGATTAAAAATAAATATATAAAAAAAAAAAGTTTACAAATAATAATAGTCAAATATGGGCCTAAATAACATTCACTTATAAAGTTGTTTACGTAAATTGATAATATTATTCAATAATCAAAAGGTTTGCCAAAGTTTGGTGACTCCATGCAATGATTCCCAACTTTTTCTTTCATCCGGAAGCCACCCCACGGCTTCACCTTTCGCCACCCGTTATTATATAATCCCTCAATCCCTTTCTACAATCTTCCCCCCTTCTCTCTCCCTCACACTCGAACACAGTCATTTTGCACACGGAACTGCACATTCTTCAGAGCTAAGCAAGTGAAAATAATTACTTATTTACCATTTATAAGCGATGTATAGTAATAGAAAAACACTAGTGAAAAATACTTCAGCTTTTGGTTGCAGTGACATGACGCGGAGCCCTTCTGAAATGGTTCTCCATGAACTCTTTGATCCAGAACATGAGAAGAAACTTCAACAGAAAGTTGAGATTTTTTCTGGGTCTGATGATGATTTCTTTAACTTGGACGATGCTGGAATTTTCTTTCCATTCAAAAATCCGGTTAGTTAATTTCATACCAAAATTTCTTTCTTTTATCTGTGTAAATGTACATAATTCACTAGAACCACTATTTTTATCAAGTATAGGATAATGCTAAGGGTAAAATTCCGTGTCAATCGGTTTAAGTATAAAAATACTCACTTCACGAACGAAGGTTTGGGCTACAAGTTGCGCTTTCTACTATTGAACTCTATTTTTAATATAGTATTTATTACAATTTGGATCACATCTGAAACCACTCCATTAAAAACGAAATAGCTCTGATTCAATTTGTTGAGAGACTAGCCAAATAATTAAAGAACGAAAATATATGGGAAATATAAAGATTATGGATCACAAGTGAAACAAGATTTGCATGAAAATCTAAATTCAGGAAAACCACAAGCAGAAGTGAAGAATTCGCTATAATTAATAGTAAGGAGTTACAAATGATCTCTTTGAACCAATAATTAGTTGGACAATTGGTCAATTTCAATATGTGTTGTACACCACATATTTATAACTAAAAAATTCCTAGCATACTCGGAGAATTGGTACATGAATGGTTTAATATAAGGTGAAATTTCAATACAATAAGTAAAATCAATAATGGATAAGTCGGAATGAAATAGGAGTCAAATTCTCATTGAACTCCTTCAAGACATCTTCAACTCTACTACCAACTCTCAATATTCCTCTACCGATATTTCCAATCAAATACTCAACAAGAATTCAGGTCACAATAAAATTTTAACAAACTCCACATTAACACAAATTCCATTACAAGGAATAAAACTTAATTGTTCATCTTCAACAAAATTCTCCAAACAAAAACACTCCACCAAAATACTCTACCACTTTCACCATGCCTCTTCGGGCATACTCAACAACTGTAACTGATTCCAAACCCTACTTACCAACAGAACTACCTTGCACATCATCTCTGCTTGATTCATCCCGTTCACCTCCAGCTCCAGTCGAGTCACCAAGACTGCTCGAATCACCATGCACACTTCCAACTATACTTAAGTTGTCAAACTTGCTCAAATCACCATGAGCAATAAGATCATCGCTTATCAAACCATTTGCTGCAGCTGTATTCACAGTGACCGCAAACATTGCAAAATACATAATCAATCCTTACAGTGCTTCTTCTCTAGCACCCAAACAAAAAAAAAATTTGTCATAACAAAAATCTTGTTGTGACCTAAAAGTGAAACTCAAATTTCATACTTGTTGTCCCTAAAACAATCAACCCTATTCAAACCTTGCTTTATTAACCAATTTTACCATCCGAAGAACCTCCAAAACCTTGGCTCTGATATCACTTGTTATAATTCGGACCATATCTGAAATTATTTTGTTGAAAGTGGAACAGTTCTGATACCATTTGTTGAGAATTCAGCCAAAAAAATTAAAGAACAAAAAAAAAATTGAGTAATATGAACATAATGGATAACAAATAAACAAAATTTATGTGGAAACGCAAATCCAAGAAAATCACGGGGAAAAGACAGAAAATTTATTATAATCAATAGTAAGAATTTATAAAGGATCTTTTTGGACTAAGAACTAATTGGACAATTGGTCAATTCCAATACATATTGTGCGTCACATATCTATAACCAAAAATTCCCTTGATTATAAGAATTTATAAAGGATCTTTTTGGACTAAGAACTAATTGGACAATTGGTCAATTCCAATACATATTGTGCATCACATATCTATAACCAAAAATTCCCTAACATATTAGGAGAATTAATACCTGAATAGTTTAATATAAGGTGAAGTCCTAATACAGTGGGTAAAACCAGTAATGGAGAATTTGGATAGAATATGAATCAAAAAACTGCAAAAAAAAAAGGGGGGAATCATTCTCGAACTCATTCAAGACCTTTTCAAGTCTACTATCAACTCCCATTACTACCCCAGCAATATTTTCAATCAAAATACTCATTAGAATTAGTCACAATCTAATTCTAACAGTATTAGAGATCATTAACCTTAAACAAGTCATTCAATGAGTCTATAAGACACAAATTTTTGTAATATAATATCAAAGCCCATCAAGTCATTCATCATCGGAAAATGATGCTTTCTTGTTTGCAAAATTTGTTAGTATACATGAGATATTTCGTGTTTGTAAAGTAATTTTACTGTAGCTTCGTTTAAGTAATAGATTTTCCCCTGTATGGTGGGATTAAAATTAGATTATTAATTGATTTTTGATAAAAGTTAATGATATATGTGATTGAAAAGTAGTGGATTCTATAAAATATGTCGTTAAAATTAATTATTGACTTGACTTAGATTAAAATCTAGATATTAATTTCTACCAAAACATAGGCCTTAGTTGTTTTTGCACCTTTACTTGAAATTTATGGATGACGTGAGAAGGGAGTAAGGGAGGTCACGACCAGGAGGCCGTGTCTTTGTTGTACTAATCCGGTAATGACCGTGAGGGCTTAGCCTTGTCACAATAGCATGTCACTTTCCTGAATATCTAGAATTACCACGATGGAGGCAGACCCATATAATTAAACCTTGGGAATTGTTTGGCTTGCTGGTTGCCTTGTGATCGGAGGCTGAAATCCAGCACCCAAGGCCAAGTGACCCCACTGAACTTATAGTCGAGCCCTGTAGTCAGCTTCGGGAAACCAGCTAGGGGGCAAGTGCTCGGCCTCGCTAAAGTCCTCAATTATTAGAAGTTTTCTGTTATTCGATTCTTCTTTTCTCTACGGTCAAGTAAACATTTTACACACGAATGGTTTGCTATCATTTTATTCAATTAAGCTGTTAATGTAGAAATGCTGTCTGCAATTCCAGGAAACGTCTTTGTCAAGCTGTAGCTCATTTGCAGATAATCAATATTTCCCTGGGAATTTCACTTCTGAGCAGCCTCTGATATCGACAACAATGGATTCACTATCATCAATAAGTGGCATGCACAACTTCCCGAGATTTCAACAAATTCATGATTCCAGTTACGTAAAATTTTGAGTAATCATCCATCTTTCCATAATTATTTTTTGTAAAACATTTACTTCAATCCTGGATCGAGTGAAATTTCTTGCAACTTCATTGCAATTTGATGGTAAAAACAGTTCATTATTTGTCAGTTAATAGTCCCTCATCGGCTACCAAGCCTAAGAGCCGAGATAATCAACCAGCCGGAGCTAGCAGTGGTTCCTCGCAAGATCAATCTGATGAAGATGACCCAGAGTTAGAAGCTGGTTCTTGCGAACAAAGCATAGACCATGTCGATATAAAACGCCACAGAAGGTATAGTGTGATTCAGATAAAAGACTATGAAAATTGGAGTCCAGTAGCCTGAAATGGTGAATATGGCCTTTCAGGAAAATTTCAAACAGGGAGTCTGCTCGTCGCTCGAGGAAAAGAAAACAAGCACATTTAGCAGAACTTAATCGAGAGGTTAACATGTTTTTCTGCATTTAAGAAAAAATTGCTCCATTTGTTCTATATTTTCTTAGAAGATCCTATAAATCAATTTCTTGATATTTCGTTCTGTTCATTGCTTGTATTAACCGCAAAAGTTATGAGGTCCTAACTCGACTTTGTACTTTACACAGGTCGAGAAACTAAATGGAGAACACGAAACTTATTACACTCAGCTTGCATATGCTACTCAGAAATTCAAAGATGCTGCAACAAATAATCGAGTGCTTAAATCAGATGTTGAAGCTTTAAGAGCCAAGGTGCCTTAAACTCTATTAACCTTTACCGCCTTTACTACTTAGGAAAGAGGGATAGAGAGTAAACTTCACTATCGGAAAACATAGAGAGTGAGAAAACTAATTCTCAACTTGGAACGTTACAAGGGCTACTAAATAAGAACTTTCGTCCATATTTCTTATGCGAATCAATTAAACTCATATCTATCCTTCTTATGCTAATGTAACGAAATTTAGATAACTGAAAAATGGAGTGTCTGCTGATTTCAGCCTTTTTTTATCAGGTGAAACTGGCGGAAGACATGGTGGCTCGAGGCTCATTGACTTCGAGTTTGAGCCACCTTCTTGAAAATTATTTGAACACTCCCCAAACATTTATGAACAGTAACATGATCCAGATGGATAACATGTCGCCAACAATTAGCTACGATGATACTCTGTATCCTTGTTTAACAAGTTCAGCCATTGGACATGAAAATGCTGAGGCCTTTAATGGCAGTGCAAGCAATGCAGTTATGAGTGACGCTGTAAGCTGCATGTCCGAGATATGGCCTTGGGAATCTCGTGCTGCTCCTGGGTCAAAGTAGAGGCGATTCCCCCCTCTCGAGGAGAAGATGTTCCGAGGATGATGTTGTTTCCATTTAGGTTGCTGTTTGTGCTTATTTGTGCATTTACATAGACTTGATTTCTTCTCTCTAGTACTCGACTAATGTACGTGCAAAAAGTTTCACATTCGCAGTACTATATATGTTGTGCGTATATTATTGAAGTTTACGTCTTGAACAATTTAAATCTACTATCAGAAGTTATTTATTTCGAAAATTGCTTAGTCTGTTATTGATGAAATTATTAAATCTACATCTCTAAGTACTATTACAGAAATGAAAAGAAAATAGCTTGAGGATCTTGATCCAACATAAGCATGAAACGCACGTAGTGTCTTTCAAAAATATATCAAACGAATAAGCCTTGTAAGATGATTGCATACATCTACTGCATATCTACTTATCTTCATGTAGAGACCACGTAGATTGAAAAATGTTGAAATTATTTCCTGCTTCTGATTTTCATGCTTTAGAAAATGAAAAGTCTTCATCAGTTGCTGCTCTTGAGGAATATATTTCTCCTTCACTTGCGTAGGAAGAATATTCATCATCACTGTCCCTTTCCTTCAATTCTTCAATTTTCTCAATAGCCTCCTTCAAATCCCACCTTCTCCCCACATTCCATTCACAGCAGCACATTCCAATCTTCAGTAGCCTGAGAATCTGACCCTCTCCATACCTTCCTAAATTCATGTCCTTATCAAATACCTCACCGGTCCACTCTTCTCTCACAACAGAATTAACCCAGGTTGCCAAATCTGCATTTGGTCCTCTACCCTGTTTCAGATAATTAGCCGGGAATCGTCCTGTGAGCAACTCAAGTATTAGAATCCCAAGGTTCCACACATCTGTCTTCCTTGTTACACGGTCACTTTTTGTGGATTCAGGTGACTTGTAGGCTACCATGAATCGCTGAGCATGCTCCTTGTTGACCACTGGTGTTAGAGCGTAATCAGATAGAACTGGTTCAAATGTGTTGTCAAGGAGAACATTGGATGACTTGAGATGGCCATGTGGTAGACTTAAGCTTGGCAGCTCTTTGTATAGGTAGGCCAACCCCCTTGCAACACCTTTGATGATTTTTAAACGCGTTGGCCAATTAAGATTTGATTGATTTCGACTTCGTTCACCTATTTAAGAAATTCAAATGTGCTCAAGTCATGGGTCCATAACGAATATATAATCTCCCAGACCAACCCAAGTATTTTACTATAGTAATTGGCAAATTTCTTGTAACAGCACTTTTCTTATGTTTCGTATGCTGAATTGGACAACATTCAACACGATTAGAAACAAGAAGTTAATGTATAATGTTGAGTTTGTCGAGTACTATGTACCAAACATTATTTAATAGACAACTTACCATGGAGGTGACTTGCCAAACTTCCATTCGGGACAAAATCAGTGATCAAAAGCTTTTCTTCTTTTCCATGGTAAAAAGCCACAAGAGGCAGCAGATTAGGGTGGGATAACCTTCCTAGCCTGCTCATGTGTTCATAGAATTCTCCGTTTCCCACATTGTTCATTTGTTGGAACCTCCTCACAACAAATGGTTGGCCATTAGAAAGCACAGCCTTATAAGAAGAGCCAAAATTTCCACTCCCCAATACTTCTGCAGAAGCCTTAAGCAGGTTTTCCAATTCAAATCTTTCCCTATCATTCCTCACGAAGTATAATTTTCTTTGTTCACCATTATTCTTGTAGTGTTCAGTACCCTTGTCAGTTGGCTCTTCTGCAGGAAAAATCTCGACCGATTTCTCGTATTTTAGCGGCCTTGAGCGTCGCCGGCATATAAGAGCCATTATAATGGCTGCTAATGCAACTCCCACCACAGCTGCTATAATGATAGCAATTTTTGGTATAGACTTCTTTGGTTTGCACGGATCCAATGGCTTACCACATAGGTTGGTATTTCCTATTCCAAAACCAAAATTTATTTAGACGGAAAGGAAGAAAAATTCCAGTTAGAACCACCTTATCTAAAATATAAGTTATTAGCATTGGGTCAAATTTTGTCATCAACGTGTCGTTTTCCCCACAGCCTCGCATGTACATAATTTTTATTAATAAATGGCGGGAATACTGAAATTCTGCACATTTTCTTACTGATACCATATTGAATCGATTCATTTAAATATGTTTACTTATTATCAAAAACGAAAACGTCATTTATTTAAGAATAATGCTATTGATGATCAGAAATTCTATATGGCAACGTGTTTTTGAGGCATTAGTTTTATGTCGTTTTATTGCTTCAAATGACAAGTTGAAGTCTCAAATAACAAACTACCACATAAAATGACTACTACAATGATCGATTACAAATAACATTACTCCTTATTTAAATTTAGATATATTTCTAGATTGTGTGGTTGATCAATATTCCAAAAAAGATAGGGGCTGTCAACTTTTGACATTTGCATTAGGTGCCTTGTAAACAACGTGCCTGCAACTTACAACGATCATTTCCATTGAATATACATTCAAGAATTATTTTGGCATCTATATATAGATCGTATAATTTATAATTTTATATTTTTATATTAGTTTCCTCATTATATGTTACGAATTTATTTTATTTTTGCAGGATCCTGATTTACTCGTTAACTAAACTGTTATTTTCGATAAATAATAAAATTATGAGTTCAAGTCTTATATATAACTAGCTAATATAAACACGTACATGTACGAAAAAGAAATAAATTCAGCCTACAGTAATGAAACATGTTGAAGACATAAATAAGTGAATTCAAGTTGATCACGACTTACCGGTAAACGAGCTTGCGTTCTGGCTACTAAGTGAAGATGGTATAGGACCTTCAAGCTTATTATTAGCAAAATTAACATTTAAATCCTTCTGCCGAAAGTCTGGTATTCTCCCTTCAATCTGATTATTTTGAAGCTGCAAATTCACGAGCCTAGGCAATTTTAATAAAGACATAGGAATTTTACCAGTATGTTCATTATATCCCAACACAATTTTCCTCATAGCCTTCATCCCAGAAAAAGTATCATCTGGAATATCACCATTGAAGCTGTTATTAGCCAAATACAAAGATCTTAACTTCCCAAGTTTCTTTAGATCATTATAAGGAAATGGTCCTGAGAAATTATTGTTCATCAAACTTAGGCTCAGCAACGGCAATTCTGCCAGTGAATCGACGTCGACTGTTCCCTCCAGCGACATGTTTTCAAGTTTTATACCTGTAAATGTACCATTATCACAAACTAACCCCGTCCATTTAGGGGTGTTGCCATTGCACAAATTTTCCACTGGTTCAATCCAGTTATTCAGCTTGTTGGTGTTGGAGAGAGAGCTCTTGAACTTTATGAGGATTTTGGCATAGGATTCATCATCAGATGATACTGTAATGGCACATAAAAAAGAGGCAAAGAACACGAAAAACGAGTTTCTCAAAGTATAAGCCATCATAGGGAGGTTTTCTAGAGGATTTTAGCCTTGTTTTGGATGATTTAGAGCAATTTTAATGGAGAAGAATATATGGGAAAGAGGGTTATGAAAACTGCATGACTCTTTCTGCAGGATGGTAACAGCGAAGAATTGAAGATATGGAGTGGGGAACTTGACAAAGTGCCAAAGCTGGATTAGCTGTTCTTTGCCGGCCTAATTTTGTAGTGTGTACATGTATATTACGAGATAATAATCCAAATAGTCATTGAACTTTGTAAAAGATTTTCACAAGTCACTAAACTTTAAAAATCACCATATTCATTACAAAACCTTACAAAAGGTTTTCCACGAGTAACTAATTCAGTGATATCCTAGAAAATCTTTTGCAAAGTTTAGTGATGAATGAGGTGATTTTTAAAGTTCAGTGATTTCATGAAATTTTTTTTTTGTAAAATTCAATGATGATTTGGATAATTTTTAAAATTCAGCGACCGCTAGAAAACTTTTTGCAAAGTTCAATGACCATTTAGGTTATTAATTCTGTATATTACTATCCCTATTTGTCCTCCATTCAAATAGGAAAATGAGTTTTGGAATAGTAAATTTTTTAATAATATGCGATTAAAAAAAAATTGATTTGACATGCAAAATGTTTTATTTTGAGAATGTGTGATTGAAAATGAGTTTGAGAAAAAAAAGTTTTGAAATAATGGTAGACAAATAAGAACTAAATGAATAACTTTGTCCTCTATGTAATAGTTTAAATTTTTAGATGAAATGATTGAATATGTTACCAATAACCTAAAGCAATGTGATTAAGCCCTTGTTTGGATTAGCTAGAAATTAGATATTTAATAGATTTCGATAAAAATTTATTAAATATGATTGAAAAGTTACGAGTCCCATAAAATGCAGTGTTCTAAAAAGCGTAGAGCGCGACTAGTTTTGGAGCCGAAACTTCAAGCTATATGAGTTTAAGCGAGTCTAGGCGAGGTTTAGGTATAAAAAAACGTTTTCTTATTTATAATATCATTTTAAATTCTTCATTATTTTAAAAATTATTTAATAATTAAAATAATACATATTAAACATGTAAAATTTTAAATACAATATTTATTTAATAACTCCTATTATTAGTCAATTATATAATTATCAAGTTTTCAAAATGCAAAAATTATATATTTTTCATAATTCAATTTTCAACTAGACAAATCCTACCTAGCCTTTGTTTGTCAACCATTCTACCACATTATTTTTTCTACAACACTTATTTTCAACCATACATTCCTCATTAAAATAATTGAATTGCCTAAAAATTGTTTTACTGAGAATTGTCAATTATTGTGTTTGATTGGTATAATTTTTCACGTGAAAAATGTTGAAATAAAAGTGTTTTTTGGTATTCGTTTGACTTTGTTTTACATAAAAATTGTCAATTAAAGCGATAGAATTTACTGTTATTGGATATAAAATTTGTTTCTATTGCAAAAAAATAATAATAAATAAATAAATATATATATATATATATATGTGTGTGTGTGTGTGTGTGTGTAATTTTTGGTGTTCGTTTGACTTTGTTTTATATAAAAATTATCAATTAAAGGAAAATATTTTTTTACGATTAAGTATAGAATTTGTTTCCATTGCCCCAAAAAAAAAAAAAAAAAAAAACGTAATCACAGTACCCTAGAAAACCAAGAAAATTCCAATTTTCAAGAAAAGCAAAAAAATAAATTTCATGTAAAATTTTGCTATCAAACACCACAAAATGGGTGGAAAATGGAATTCGATTTTCCATGGAATTTGGCCTTATCAAACATGGCCTTAAATCCTATTTAACTATTTAGATAAAGTCATTTTTAACTTTTGTATGGATAAAATCTTTTAAAAATATTTCAAGTCAAATAAAAGTTTTTTTTAAATAATAATAATAATAATAAGCTAAAGTTAAATAAAAGATTTAAAAATAATAATAATAATAATAAAACATGTTTACGAAAAAACGGAAGAAATGAAGGAAAAAATTCAATCATTTAAGAATTGAAAAAAAAGCGTTTAAGCGCGTAGCGCGTAGCGAAGCATTTTGCTCGAGTTTCGACAGATGAGTTTTTCAGAACACCAATAAAATGTATGTTTGTAAATGAATTTTAAAAAATGATGGCCACACATGGACTAAGTCACATGTGAACTTGTTTATGAAAATTGTGCATGTAGATGGTTGTTGATGATATATACGAGACGGGACATATTCAAGACAAATATTAAATAAATTTGTCCGTTTTTAACAATTTAATTTTTTAGATGAAGTGATTCTATTATGGTATGTAAAATAGCCAAAGTAATGACATTATGTCTCTGTGTTATTTGTTTATGAAAATTGTGTACGTGTCAGATATTTAATAAAAATATGAAGTTGATTATCACACGACATAGTATGTTGAAAATTAATATTAAATAAATAAGATAATCACATTCTTTTTCGAATAATTTAAAATTTTAAATGAGATGATTCAAGATATCAGATATGAACGAACATATAATTATATACAGGCATTGATTTGATTTATAGCTATTTTGGGAGTTCATTACAAGTCTTATTAGTTGGGTGGTAATGACTAGAAACTGATCTTTGACACTTTCTCTTGTCTTTATGCTAAAATTACATTAGTTGGCAATGTTGTTGCTGCAAGTGTAATTAATTATGCTATAGCATCTGAGGTTAAAAGGAAAAGTATTTATTGGCCAAATCTGCCGATGATCCCAATTTTGCAAAGTTGTATTATTATTCCAACTGTAACACATTTTTTTTTTATTTATATATTCCAATTTAGATAATAGAGAGATTAATTTCCTTGTGCTTCTACTCATCGGATGCTCGACTCTAAATTTATTAACAAACAAATTGGTGAAGGATTTGCTTATTTACAAAAATAAATTTTTTGTGATTCATCTCCAACGCAACGGTGTCCGTGTCGATCTTTCGGTAGAACTAGCGGTGTCAAAAAGGGAACGGACCTGCTATTAATGGGCCTAAATTGGCCCAATTCATTGTGCTGTCTAGATCTGAACTCAGCCGTTGCCCGTTGGTTAAAATTTGGGCCTTAACCAACGGCCCTTTAGTGGACCGAGCCATCATCAGGTTAGAATGCCCATCACGGTACAGTCAGCCTTCCTCCATGACTTCATAGGGATGCTACTTTGACATAAAAGTAATAAAATCACTTATGAGTAAATTTGCATATATATAACAAATATAAATAATGTAACATATTTTTATTTTCTAATACAATGTACAATAATGCCAACCATCTGAATCCAACCTCCCTAATTGTGTCCCACCTAACTGTTTGGTACACATTAATATAAATATGAGAATGAAAAATATAATCGTTACCCCATACAAGAGATAAAAAGTTAGTTTGATGTGATGGATAACAATCATATTTTTCATTTTAATGGACAAATAATGTGAAACAAACGGGGCATAGTGTACCAAACGTGTATTTTTCAATCTTATGCTACTGTTGCATTTATATTTTCAAATTTTTGTAACATTTTTTCAGGAACTTTTCATTTTTATCCAAAAGTCTATTATGATGGCGTCGAAAGACTTCTTTGCCATCATGTTTTTAAAATAAGTAAAAAAAATATTAATATAATAATGTGATTTAATAAATGTCTCTCATTTTAAAGTGCGCTAACACGATGTTCATACATAAATCATTATCAATGACCTTGTATGCTAATTACTTGAATATCTAATATAACAATAAAAATGGATGAATATTCAGATCAAACCCGAATTAGTCACTTAACCTTGGTTTAATTTATTTCAATACAAGGGGGGAAAAAGGGTTATAACACCTATTTTGATTCTCCATTAAAAACTTAAATAGTCCTTATAATTATATAAAGATATTGTAAAATGGTTCAGTTGAATCTTTTTAATCAAGTAAAATGATCAATTTGACCAGAACGTCAAACTATTCTACAAAGGGGGAATAAGATTATTTGGTGTGAGAAGGCTGTATTACTTTATATAGGCAGTTCTGTTTGATTCACATTATTTGAAAAAATATATATTCTTGAACAATGATTTTTCATTATTTCAATTATATATTTTTCAATAAAATAATGTTACAAGCCAATTCAAAAATTTTCCTTATTTTTTAACCACATAGTTTCTATCATTCTCCATTAAAAACTTAAATAGTCCTTATAATTATATAAAGATATTGTAAAATGGTTCAGTTGAATCTTTTTAATCAAGTAAAATGATCAATTTGACCAGAACGTCAAACTATTCTACAAAGGGGGAATAAGATTATTTGGTGTGAGAAGGCTGTATTACTTTATATAGGCAGTTCTGTTTGATTCACATTATTTGAAAAAATATATATTCTTGAACAATGATTTTTCATTATTTCAATTATATATTTTTCAATAAAATAATGTTACAAGCCAATTCAAAAATTTTCCTTATTTTTTAACCACATAGTTTCTATCATTACACCATCAAAAATGTTTTTTTATACAAATCATGTGGGCATAGTAATTAAGTTTTCATAGAAATAAATTTTAGCCCCCGTTTGATTCTGATTCTTCACTACAAAAAATTAATTTTTGACTATGATTTTCCTAAGTTAATCGTCATTTTTTATTTCTTCACTCACAAGTGGGATCAATTTTTCTCTTTAACGATCAAAAAATTAATTCTCATAATTACTACCGAATAGACACTTAAATCACGTGCTATAGCACGTAACAATCAAAACAATCTCACTACCTCAAGACACTTTTGACATTGTCCAAAAATCATCTCATTTTCTCTGACACTCAATCTTAACTATTTGAATTGCATTTCAAGCCAAAATACTTGTCTATCACTTTGCTCCCATTTGGCCCCTTTTTCTTGCAAATTTTTTTTCCTCTCTTTTTGTCAATAACACAATCTTTCGTAAAATAAAATTACATATAAATCGAAGTTTTTTCTTTCTTTTTAACCATACATTCTTTAAAAAATATTATTTCAAACATTAAAATTTAAAAAAAAAAAGGGGGGGGGACAAGCGAAAATTACAAAATATGTATCTTTTTTTCCTTTTTTTTTTTTTGTTTGAGTGTAGTGCTTGAATTGGAATCAAATCTCAATTACTGCATCACTAACACCACCACTTTGTCTATCCGTAACTACGCATGGCATTACTCTCCATTGAAGTTTCTTACTATGCCCCTGTTTGGCCCCCATTTTTTGTAATGAAAATAGGGACAATAGTGTTTTGTTGAAAAAATGAGTGGTTGAAAAAGAAGCAAAAATTTTCGATTTACGTATAATATTATTTTATAAAAAATTGTATGATTAAAAATAAGAGAGAGAAAAATAGAATGTAATGAAATATAATTTAATGGGGATCAAACAGGAACTATATTCTTATAAGCAAAGCTAAAATGTAAAAGTTATTACTTGAGAAATCCCACCAAACATTTTGACAATTGAAAGGCTTTAATTTGGTGCGTTAGGTTATTAGGTCAGCATATTCAAAATAATGTCCAGATTCATTGTATCTAAATCCAAATTTGTTGAGACTAGAAAGTCCATTTCCTCGGGCAATTTGTCTAATGTTTTAACTTTTAAATAAGGTCACCCCACAAGCTTTGAAAGTCGGTCCCGATTTCAACCAGAGGTAGAATGATTCGGTGTCCAGGTTCAATGAACCTAGGCAACGGTGGTCGGTGGAATAGTACTCGTTTTTCATAATTTACCATGCATGATGCATGGGTGGCATTCATCACGGGATGGGAATATTAAGAATTCGTTCGGCCAGATTTTTGAAAAGTTAAAAATTATTTCTAAGAATAAAATATTATTTCTGAATATGTTTCAATAATTTTTTAAAAGTGCTTTGTTTGACTAGAAATTATTTTAATAGAAAGTGAATTTAAAATAGTTTTATAAAATAATTTTCTTAAAAAAACCGAAAGTAAAAAAAATATATGTCCTACCAAACGAACTCTAAGAATTAAATTGAAGAAAAAAAGTGTAAAATGTAAGACAACACACACGAGATAGTGTACGGGGCTTTTGAGGTGATCGCTTCAATAATTCCTTGGATATTAAGCATTCACAAAGGCCATTGTATATATCAAACATTAAGGCTCTGTTCTCTTTACCGTTTTCGAGCCGTTTTCTGTTTTCGATTTTTTAAAACGGTGAAAACGTGTTATCTTTCCCGTTTTCGAAAACGAAAAAAAAAAATTTATGAAGAAAACACAAAACGACTTTTTCGTCGTTTTGGGCGTTTTCAGTGTAAAACTTGAAAAAATTGAAAACGCGAGAAACACCTTGGAGAAACCCCTTTTTTTTTTTTTTTTTTTGAGAATCACCACGTTTCTCAAAACAAAAAAAAAATGAATTTTTTTTTTTTAATTTTGAGAATCACCACAACACGACCTTCTCAAAAAAAGAACGCATTTTCAATAATTTCAAAACAAACACTCAAAACACAAAACTCAAAATGAATTCAAAACTCAAAACACAAAACTGAAATACAAAGAGAACACCCCCTAAACTTCCTAGCCAAGTAGGCTCACAAGGTTTTTGATCTAGTTGGAAGAATTTAGACATTCCTTAATATTCCTAAATTTGGTGTTACACGCTCCCACCATGACATTCAACGTCGTTGCTCGTAGTAGCTAAGTTAGCACCGTGATTGTTTTTGCAGCACGCAAACGTTTAGTCAATATTATGAGCATGTTCCTCTGATTGTAAGCATAGAAACTGGCTCAATTTTCATTAGTAAATGCCAATTTTCATTAGTAAATGCCTTTTAAATAAGATGATGTAATATGTGAGTCACAAACTCCAAATGACACGTGATATGATCGATTACAAAGCATCAATCCCCTCTTGCATTGGTCATGAAGGTTGGCACCAATCCAACATGCAATCAACTACTCAAAAGTTGTTATAGTGGTACTAAGGGTCCGTTTGGGATGACTTTTGAAAAGCCAAAAGCCGCTTTTGAACCGTTTGACTATTTTTATTTAAAGTGCTTTTGGAGGTTAGAAGAGCTTTTGGAGGAAGTTGGTTTTTTTGGCTTCCTCCAAAAATACTTCCGGAATGGGAAGTGATTTTAAATATTAATTTTTAAACAAAAATTAAAATAGTTTTCTCCAAAATCTCTTCTACAAGAAGTAAAAGTCAAAGTAAAAACCGTGTCAAATGGGCCCTAATTCAATTGTTAGTTTGATTTAGTTCGAACGTATCATGTATAATATTGTGTATAAATATTATGTATGATATTGCCTATTAAATAAGCAGATTTTTTTTGACTTTTATTGCATCAAGTTTTATATTAACAAATTAATTAAAAAGAATTAAAGAATAAAACTGAGTTCCACGAAATTGCCTTTTCAGAGATGGATTTGGACAAACCAATTGACCCTTGAGAACAAATTTCAACAGGGAAATTGTCTGTAGCAAGATGACTTGTATTGCAGTCAAGTCTATTTCATACTTTTCATGCCAGTTGCTGCCATCAATCTGGACCATTTCCAAATTCTACTTCTTTGTATTCAATATTCAATTCTTATTTTGAGAGTCAAATTTAATCCATGTTTGACTTTTCGCCCCCTCAAATTCCTTTTTTATCGTACATTATGTCAATACAATAATTTACATGTGAATTCTTAACTTTTTTCAACAATATCATTTTTTCTCAAAAAATCTACATCAAACAAACCCTTAATCTATGTTTGATAGCCCAATTTTTTCCATGAAAAATAAAAAAAATAAATTTCAACTTTCACTTTTGCCATGTTTGATTGACAAAATTTTCTAGGGAATTGATTTTCCCATTTTGGCCGTCACGTCAGCATTTTCTTGATTTTCATGGCTTTTTGGTTTTCCATGTTTTCTTCATCTTCATCTTCATTTTTTTTTTTTAATTTTTGGAGTTGAAACAAATTCTATGAATAATTCTAAAAGAGGATATCCCTTAAATTGACAATTTTCATGTAAAAAAATCAAACGAACACCAAAAGATCGATGATTTTTTATTTTTCTTGGATTTTTTTGTTTATTTATTTATTTATTTTTTTGCAATGGAAACAAATTATAGAAACAATTGTAAAAGAGGATATCATTTAAATTGACAATTTTTATGAAAAACAAAGTTAAACGAACACGAAAAGACACTTTTATTTCAACATTTTTCAGGTGAAAAATTATACCAATAAAATACAATAAATTAACAATTCTCAATAAAACAATTTTTAGGCAATTCAATTCCTTGAAATTTATTTTCTTTCCATTCAAATTTCATTTTTGCAATCAAATGGACTTTATAGTTATTTTCTATTGGGATTTTCAGGTTTTTTTTTTTTAATAGATCATATTTAGTTTAGATAGTTCGAAGGCAAAAAAAAAAAAAAACTCAAACTATATTACCGTGTCAAATGTATTAACTAGATTAATCGATTTCATAAATATTGAAGTTCCCGTGCTAAATTTTCATTTAAATTGGCCTTGACACTTAACAAGGGTGAGTGTATCTTATTATAGCAAACATATTACAAATAATAATATAATTTTAAGGCTCATAGCCCTTTTTGGGGGAAAAAGGAAGAAGAAGGCAATATTGGAGTGTGATGATTTTTTAGTAGGTCTATTACATATTTTTTTAATTTAATAAAATTATTAGTGTCTAATTTAACATACTAAACATTCTTTGAAAGTGTATAACGCTACCTAAACTCGTAAAAAATCATTTTGGTGAATACATAAATGCATTAGCATGAAAATATTGATTAACAATAACGTATTCTCCACTGCTATTCAGTAATATCGAATTAGTATAGAAGCTTTTATTTATTTATTTATTTTATTATGATTTTTCCTTTTCCTTCTCTCTATAAACAAAATAAATAAAAATAAATGATCAATGTGAGGATTAATGTATACATACTAATTGTCCATATGCATACATAAAGGGCCCCAGTCCCAGCTACCTCACACCACACACGGTAACACGGTTTTCCTTTTCCTCGTCTGATTATAAATAATCACAAAAACCCCCTCTTCCATTTGTCCTGTTTGCACTAACCCTATTTACAGAATCAGAGAGAGAGATTCAGAAATCAAGCTTCATTACATTTTCCCATCTCTCTCTCTCATTTAAATTTCAGAATTTTTGCTGAAATTCCTGATTTTATTGCCTCTTGATCCGGATTTCTCGTGTAAGCATTTTTTTGTATTTTTGATTATTCAACACCCATTATCTTCTTGTTTTTTTTTGTTTCAATGGTGAATAATATTTTATGGGTTTTTGATTTCGTGCAGATTTTTCATACCAGAGGGTAAAAATGGTGTTCTGGGTTTTCGGTTATGGGTCATTGGTGTGGAACCCTGGATTTGAATACGATGAAAAAATAATTGGCTACATCAAAGACTATAGGAGGGTCTTTGATTTGGGTAAGTTTCTGTTCCTTTGTAGAAATATGTTACGGGATTTTCAATTTTCTCCAAATTTGTTAAATTATATGTGAAACCCTAGATTTTGTTCAAGTAGGGATTTGAGTTAAAGATTGAACATTACTTTTTAGAAGACTTAAAATCAGTACACAGTTTAACAGACAAACTGTTTCGATTAGAGGGTTCTTTAAGTAAAAAGAGACAAGATTAAGGAGTTGCAAATTAATGTAATTTTTCATTTATTTTTATTTTTTTATCAGTACATAGTTTAACGGACAAAGTATTTCGATTAGAGGGTTCTTTAACTAAAAAGAGACAAGATTAATGTAATTTTTTTTTTTTTTTTTTTGGAAAGGGTTCATATTTCTTTCTTTTCTTTCTTCCAGCCTGCATTGATCATAGAGGTACTCCTCAGCACCCTGCAAGAACTTGTACCTTGGAGCAATACGATGGAGCCATCTGCGTAAGTGAAAAATGTTATTAATTTGCCGTTTTAATACCATTTTAATCCCTTTTTCTCCCAGTTATGCAAATATGAAGTTCCCTGTATTAAAGTTTTCGATTTGTATTTCATTTTTAGTGGGGTGCTGCATATTGCGTGCAAGGAGGGCCCGAAAAGGAAAAGGCTGCAATGGAGGTATGCCTGGGGCATTAGTTTGATTATCGAATCACCTTCAGCAGGCATTTTCAATTATGTATCGTTTTGAAGCTGATGTTTGTTTAAACCTTTGTGTTGTAGTATCTGGAACGAAGAGAGTGTGAGTATGATCAGAAGACTTTGGTGAATTTTTTCAAGGTATATCATATTTCCGATATCTTGTTTTTCATTATTATCCTATGCTATTACTGATTTTTCCGAGTACTGAAGTTTCTCCTCTTCAACGTAGGATGGAGATTCTGAGCAGCCCATCTTAACTGGAGTGATAGTGTAAGCAGTTTAATGCTTTCTTTGTTATAGTATTCGTCTTACCCTTGTAAAGTATAGATAAACACTTGTTGGCTACTTTGTCTGAAATTGCTCAAAACATTGGTTTTTGGCATTGCAGGTTCACATCGACTCCGGACACAGTTTCAAACAAGTACTATTTAGGACCTGCCCCTGTGGAGGACATGGCTAGGTACTAGAGATATAAATCCTTGCCACATCTCTCGTTTCTTCTATGTAACTATGTTTAATCGCATAAAATCCTAATTTCTCGTGTATCTTTCCAGGCAAATTGCGACTGCCTTTGGTCCCTGCGGTAACAACAGAGATTACATTTTCTTGATGGAGAAAGCCTTGTCTGACATTGGTAAGTTTTCTTAATTTCCTGCTCGACTGGAGGAACTCTGTTCAAAATTCTCATTTAATATTATGAACAACAGGTCATGAAGATGACTATATCATAGATTTGGCAAATGAAGTGAGAAAGGTCCTTGGAATTGTGGGTGGCGTACCAAAGGAGAAGAAGTTACCATCTCCTCGTATCCCTTTCAAAGCCCACATGACTTCGCCTCTCAAATTGGGACCTCTCCCTGAAGCAGTTGCCATGGATTCTTAGAGAATCTCCTCTCAATCTAGAAGTAGAGACATTCTTTTTTCTTGTTTAGTTGACGGATTTCTAATGTGGATTAGGGAATCACACTAGCAAAGGTGTAGGGTCGACAAGCTAACGAATGAAATACAATTTCTCTAATTTATATCAGATTACGACATTTTATTTGAATAAAGTGCTGAGTATCTTTCTGGGTTCAATTTATTTTCTTTTACAATTTCAGTAGAACTTTATAGATTTGCTGGGTCGAATTTCTTTCGCTACCCTTTTGCCTATGTCCATCGATGATCAACCTTGCTAATGAAAGATATACGGACTTGATTAAAGAATTAATGACTTGCTGATAACGTGCTGTACAATTCTATCTTGTATAGGTTTTTTATTTCTTAGTTTTGAAGTGGGGATAGAATAGATTAAAATTGTGGGGTTTACATCCATATTTAATTCTATGGTGTACATTAATTTGTTCCTTTCATATGGATAACTCTGTAGTTTCTTTGGTAGCATTTTTGGGAGTTAAGATTCGAGTTCTTGTCTACTCTCGGTGGTGTAACAGCCACCTCTCTTCACCAGCAACTTGACACGTTAACACGTAGCTATTGTGTGGTCAGTATAGTCGTCTTGCGCAACATGTTCACGGCCTAGTGGCAGGGTAACCGTGGACTGATAGGCACAGAGTTGAGCAATGATGGGTTGATACCCCTTTGTATATATTACCAGTCAGAGTCCCGTGCATTGCACGAGTTTTATATTTATTGTATTTTTGTTTGTGTCAAAATTGTAGATTTTTCAAAACTTGTTGAAGATTCGAAGTGTTTGGTGAAATACGATCGTTTGGTTCATTGCAATTAATAGGTTTTATAATAATTTTTTTTTCGCTTGCAATTTTTTTTTTTTTTAATTTGTTAAACCATTTAGTTTTTTTATTCATGTTGGTGTAAAATGATATTTACAATTGAGTTCGCTTAATTTTTTGAAATTACGTTTTATTCAATTATTTTTTGTTCAATATTTTAACATTTGAATTTTTACAAGATAGAATATCATCTAGATGTGGAGTCGAGAAGGATAATTCTCACTTCTAGTCATTATCTTGATTTTTTCATTTTTGAAAAAAAAAAATCGTCTAAAACATTAAGGTAAGGAGTGAATATGATATACATTGATCAAGATTTAATTATTATTAATTAAATAATTAATATTTTTCTATAATAATATATTATATTAATGGAATAAACGGGTTGTTTTACCATTCAACATAAGGAAAAGATGTCGTTTTGCACTGTAAAAAAAAAAAAAAAAAAAAAAAGAGGGAAATGGAAAATAAAATTTCAAAAAATTATTATAATTTTTTTAATTAAATTGAAATAATTAAAACTTAAAAATAAATATTACTTAATTAAAATTAAAAAAATTACGTTTTATCATAAAATGAAAAGAATTAAAAAGAATTTTAAGAAAAAAAATTATAACATGTTAAAAAAGAAATTTAAAACAATTTTCAAAAATATATAATATAAAAATTTAAAGAAAGTTATGAAAATTAAATAAAGAATATATAAATATTATTTGGGTAAAATTGAGAAATTAAGTTTTATCATAAAAAGAAAAGAATTTAAAATTGAAAAAAAATGTTTACAATATAAACAAAACAAATTTAAAAAAAATTAAAAACTCTCTCCATTTGATGGAGAGAAATACACACACAGCTCCATCCATCCCTCCGTGGATGGAGAGATTGAGATTTTTTTTTTATTTAATTTATTTTTTTTCTAAAACTGTATTTTTCATATTGTATATAATTTTTTCAATTTAAAAATATTCTTTATAATTCTTTTCCTTCTACGATAAAACTTAATTTTCCGTAACTTTCTTTTATTTTGTTTTTATTATTTATTTTTTGAAAACTGTTTTAAAATCTTTTTTCTTCATATTAGAAATAATTTTTTTGTTCGATTTAAAATTCTTTTCAATTCTTTTTGTTTTACGATAAAATGCAATTTTTTCAATTTTCATTAAATAATATTTATTATTAAATTAAAAACTTTATAATAACTTTTTTGTTTCTTTTTATTTTTGCCTGTAATTTTTTATAATAATTTTTTTCCGATTTTTTCTGTAATTCTGTTTTTTCCTTTAATTTGTTAAATCATCTAGCTTGTAACTATCATCTTACACCAACACGAATAAAAAAACTAAATAATCTAATAAATTAAAGAAAAAAATTGTAGGCGAAAAAAAAAGTGATTGTAAAGTTTTTTAATTAAATTGAAATAATTAAAATTAAAAATAAATATTATTTATTTATAAATTAAAAAATACGTTTTATAATAAAACGAAAAGATTTAAAAGGAATTTCAAATTGAAAAAAAATTATAATATAAAAAAAAGAAATTTTAAAACAATTTTCAAAAAAATATAATGAAAACAAAATAAAAGAAAGTTACGAAAATTAAATAAAGAATATATAAATATTGTTTAGTTAAAATTAAAAAATTAAGTTTTATCATATAGAGAAAAGAAGTTTAAATTGAAAAAAAAAATTATCTATAGCATAAATAAAATAAATTTAAAAATGAAAAATAAATAAGAAAAGAATTCTCTCTGTAGATGCATGAAGAGAAATCTTTCTGTCCACACACATTTAAATGTGTCCCATCCACACACAATGGGATCCCACATTGGATGGAGAATCTCTCCATCCCACATTAATTCTTTTTGTTTCATTTATTATTATTTTTTTGAATTTGTTTTGTTCATATTATAAAATATTTTTTTGATTTAAAAAAATTCTTTTTAATTCTTTTCTTTTTTACGAAAAAAATTAATTTTTTAATTTTAATTGAATAATATTTATATATTATTTATTTAATTTTCGTAACTTTCTTTTATTTTGTTTTTATTATAATTTTTTAAAAATTTCTTTTTTCCTCATATTATAAATAATTTTTTGTTCCATTAAATTTTTTAATTCTTTTTGTTTTAAGATAAAATAACTAAAATTAAAAATAAATATTATTTATTTAAGATTAAAAAATTATGTTTTATCATAAATCGAAAATAATAAAAAGAATTTTAAATGGAAAAAAATTATTTATAATATGAAGAAAAAAGAAAATTTTAAAAAATATAATAAAAATAAAATAAAAAAATATTACGAAAATTAAATAAAGAATATATAAATATTATTTATTTAAAATGAAAATTTTAATTTTATCATGAAGATAAAAGAATTAACAAGAATTTTAAATTGAAAAAAATTATTTATAATATAAACAAAACAAACAAACAAATAAATAAATAAGGAAAAAAGTTCTCTCCGTGAATGGAGAGATTTCTCTTCGTGTCCATAGTATGGGCGGACGAAGAAATCTCTCCTTCCACGTACAATCCACATACATTCATGTGTGTTTCTTTCCTTCCATACACACACACTGAGATGATGTAGATTTTACTCCATCCCACATCACACGCTAATTTTATTATTATTATTATTATTATTTTAAATTTGTTTTGTTCATATTGTAAAATATTTTGTTGATTTAAAAAAATTCTTTTTAATTCTTTTCTTTTTACGATAAAACTTAATTTTTTTAAATTTTTTTTATATAATATTTATATATTCTTTATTTAATTTTCGTGACTTTTTTTATTTTGTTTTTATTATATTTTTTAAAAAATTTTCATACTATAAATATTTTTTTATTTAATTTATTTAATTCTTTTTGTATTAAGAGAAAACGCAATTTTTTCAATTTTAATTAAATAATATTTATTTTTATTTTATTATTTCAATTTAATTTAAAAACTTTATAATAACTCTTTTTGGTTTCTTTTTATTTTTGCTTGTGATTTTTCATAATTTTTTTCTATTTTTGTCTGCAATTCTTTTTTTGTTCTTTAATTTATTAAATCATTTAGCTTGTAACTATTATTTTACATTAACACGAATAAAAAAACTTAATGATTTATTAAATTAAAGAACAAAAAAAATTACAAGCGAAAAAAAAAGTCATCATAAAGTTTTTTAATTACATTGAAATAATTAAAATTAAAAATAAACATTATTTATTTAAAATTAAAAAATTACGTTTTATTATAAAACGAAAAAAAGAAAAAAAAAAGGAAAAAAAAATTATCCCCGTGGAGGAGTTCTATGAGGAAATATACAAAAATGGCTTTTCCACTGTAGCAAAATTTGACATTGGCCTTTGACCCATTAAATGAATTAAAAAAAAAAACAAATTAAGTTAAAAAAAAAAAACTTCACAGTAAAAGCCCATTTTACCCTTCAGACTGTTTGAATTATCTCTCACCGACCACCGACCGACCACCGGAGTTACACCAACGTCGCAATCAACGACCATCATCTATAGTGGAAATAAAAGAACCGGTTAGTTTTTTGATCTTTTCTCCAGTTCGAATGGTTTTCATAGTATAGCACTTTCCTTAGTAATTTTGGTTTAAATTAGATCCATGGGCATGAGTAGTTAGATTGTGGGCATGCTGGAGTGTGAAAAATGTGAATTTTTGCCATTTTTTGGAGCTCAGTGGCCGGGAATGGCGGTTTCCGACCGTTCCCGGCCGTCGGCTCGTTGATAGTCGGTGTATCCGACTGTTAACAGTCGGCCCAGACTGTTAACAGTAGGGCAGTCTGGGGCCGGTGAACCGGCCCAGATTAAATATTTAATTTTAAATTTTTTTATAATTTTTGTAATTAATTAAATTTTTTATTTGATTAAATAGAGATTATGTTATTTATTTATTTAATTTTTTTATTATTGTCAATATAATATAATAATTGAAATATTGTAAAATTAACAATGTTGATTCTATTTTTTTATGAAATTATCTTTAATTTATTTTTTTAAATTTATTTAAATAATATGAATAGTCTAAATTTTAAAAAAAGGTAAAGTAATTATTTATTTAATTTTTATATTTGTCTTTTATATAATTTAATAATTGAAATATTGTAAAATTAACAATGTTGATTCTATTTTTTTATGAAATTATCTTTAATTTATTTTTTCAAATTTTTTTATGGAATTATCTTTAATTTTTTATTTCAAATTTATTTAATTTTTATATTTGTCTTTTATATAATTTAATAATTGAAATATTGTAAAATTAACAATGTTGATTCTATTTTTTTATGAAATTATCTTTAATTTATTTTTTCAAATTTTTTTATGGAATT